TTCTCTACTCTGATGTTCTTGTCTTTGCAGGTTGTTTTTCTTTCCTTATTTTATTACTTTATTCAACACAGTCAATGTCAGCACTTTCTATATTTCTCTTTCTTTTTTTGTGTGTTTTCCTGTCTTTTTAAAAATATTTTTAATTGCTTTCAGAATGGAAAGGAGATGGAGAGAAAGATAGAAACATCAATTAGGTTAGGGAATCATGGGGCAGCTGCCTCCTGCATGCACTGAGTACGGAGTTTGAAGCCTGGAGTGTGCCCTGACCAGGAATCTAAGCCTGCCCTCCTGGTTCATAGGTCAGCCGTCTACCTCTCAGCCACACTGTCTGGGTTATGCTCCCCTCCATTGTGCCAGAGCCTTGTCTGCATGCATTTTGTCACCCTCCCCAGGTCACCCTCCCCAGCATTCCTACCTTTAATTAGAGACTTTCAACTACTCAAAATGTTCCTTTTGTGACAGATCAAACTTGGAAGGCAGCCATGTCTAACATCCCTATTGGGATGGTGTCAGAGGCTGGAAATGTCCCTCTTGTTAGAGGCTGAGGTATCAGTGAAGAAAGCAAATGCAGGTTTTAGTTTCACGTGGCTGCAGCATCAGCTATAGATCAGGGGTAAGAAGATGCACATCTGACTGCTCAGAATAGCTCAGAAAGTTCTGAAAAAAAGGGCAAATAGAAGAGACTTGCTCATTATTGTAGTACGAGAGACTTGGTCGGTAAATGGACTGTTAGCTTACAGAACATGAGCGGTACAGGTGGATTGGCACTAGGAAAAACTAATGTTTATTCGTAATCATTTCCACATATTTATTTATTGAGGTATTTTTGGCAGTAATGTTACAGCAGTGGTGACCTGACCGTGTGCCTCAGTCACCTGATGCCCATGGTCTCAGTCCACCTGACGGTCGAGTGGCAGAGGTGCTTCCCTCACTGTAGAGTTAATAGTCTCCCTCTCTCAGGAACAAGGGTGTAGTAGCGAATTTTTTTTTCTAGCAGCGATTTAATGAAAGTTGTGCAAAGACCATTACTTCACATCTGGAAATGTCCCTCTTGTTAGTTTGCGTTTACTTTAGAAAATGAAGGACTTACTTTTATTTCCTACAGATCATTGGCCTTTTCATGGGAGCTTAAAACAATCAGGCCTTGATTCTTTACATTTTCCTTATATTCTATACTCACATGAGAGACATACCCTATACCAGCGGTTCTCAACCTGTGGGTCGTGACCCCTTTGAGGGTCGAACGACCCTTTCACAGGGGTCGCATAAGACCATTGGATAACACATATATAATTACATATTGTTTTTGTGATTAATCACTATGCTTAAATTTTTTTCAATTTGTAACAATGAAAACACATCCTGCATATCAGATATTTACATTATGATTCAAAACTGCAAAATTACAGTTATGAAGTAGCAACAAAAATAATTTTATGGTTGGAGGTCACCACAACATGAAGAACTGTATTAAAGGGTCACCCCATTAGGAAGGTTGAGAACCACTGCCCTACACTATCATTTTTTGTATTTTCTAGGAAGTTTCCAAGAATGACATTATTAATGTATTTTCAGTTTCATTTAATTTCTACAGCATAGCTCTCCACTAATAATACATAAAAATTTTTAAAGAGCCCTAACCTGTTTGGCTCAGTGGATAGAACGCTGGCCTGCGTACTGAAGGGTCCCAGGTTCGATTCCGGTCAAGGGCACGTACCTGGGTTGCGGACGCATCCCCAGTGGGAGATGTGCGGGAGGCAGCTGATTGATGTTTCTATCTCTCTATCTCTCTCCCTTTCTCTCTCTGTAAAAAATCAATAAAATATATTTAAACAACAACAACAAAGACAGATAAAATAAGAATTAATAGATAAGTACCCAATAATTTCCCTTTTAATATCTGGACATAAAAGAGGTTCAATCTGCATTGATTGAATCTGGAGGTGGAATGCTCATGCCTTTCCCTGGAGCACCACCTCGTGCACTTCTTGGTGCCTACTTTCTTTTTCTTCTTTTAAATGTCCTGTTCTTCCACAAAGTCTAATTTTGCTCATATGCCTGTTGCACATAATTTAGCTGATCTTGCACGTCATTATACTATTACCAGCCCTGCTAACATTTCATAAGTTATTTGAGCATTCCGTCCGTGGTTTGCATGGGCTTGCTCCTGACATTTCTCCAAAAATTCTCCCTTCCATAGTAAATAATCCCCCTCCATCCAGAGTTGCACGAGCTAGAGAATAATCAAATCATAAAGGAGGCTAAAGAATGCTCCAGAAAAAATTAATCC